GACTTCGTAACTCTCTCTGTAACGAACTCACTTCTTCCTGGTTGTAATCTTCCTCGATGGTGTCGGAGTTTTCCGGTGCTGAAGCATTTGATGGAGCAGGCATTTTGCTGTACTTTCTTAAGTTATATCGGTGAAAGGCTGTATTTTCTTTCAACCCCACAATATGGTTCATCCGGGTTTCGGATACCCCACCAGTTGTCGTGTCGCCCTATTGGGTGACCGCACTTATCATGGGAATTTGTCTAGCTCGCTCGCTTGTGAGAGACCCTTAGTTATAATGATTCTGCTTTTCGGCCACCAGGTCCAGATTAGGTTTGGGTGCACTGTAATAAGGAAAAGCAAAGCGTGGATCAAATTAAAAACGATGTTACTTTATTCACGTCTCCGAATAGAATGTACAACAAATAGTCACCAGGCACAATAAAATAAATCATTATGAGTTGCTCGTAGCATTACAAACAAGTGTGCCTTAACCTACCTAACATCTGGTGACTCATAGAGTGATTAAACAATATTAAAAAGACTCACTCTATGTAATAAAAAATCTAGACAATGTAATTTCCAACTGAAATACTAAAGCTCGTACTTTTGTTTACACTGGATACATTTAAATTTACCTCCCTCGACTGGAGAGTTTGATAAAAATAATAGAGCCAAACAAAGAAAGGCATTATATTTCCGGTATAAAACCGATGAAAAGTAAAACGTGTCTAACTATAAAACTACACTCTACATAGGACTACAACTACCAAAATACAACAAAAATCATAAGAACACACATCAAATATAAATGCCCTGATTTCAATATAATACTTTTATAATAGATTTCTATTTTAATGAAAGCTCAAATTTTGTAAACTAAAGCTCAAATTTTTTTAAACTCCAGAAATTAATTGCAAATGTTAATAAATAATTAATTAATCTTTTCTTTATAAGTTCTAGAAAAATAAAACATTTTTACCATACCTGTAATAAGGAAAAGCAAAGCGTGGATCAAATTAAAAACGATGTTACTTTATTCACGTCTCCGAATAGAATGGCCGAGTTGCGGGCGCAATTCCATTCGGAGACCCACGCTTGCCGTAAATTAGTTGCAGATTTTATTTGACAAAATGAAATATGTCAGAAAGGACAATACACTCACCTGCCAAAAATCAGCCCAATATCTGCTAGCGTTAAAATAAAGGTGCGGAAAACCAAGTGGGACAGACTGACAGACAGACAGAGGGACAGCTAGACAGACGGACGGACAGATTCGGAGGAAACATATAGTCCCCTCCGGTTTCACCGGTAGGGGACTAAAAATATATACATCCAAATCTTTATGTAAAAAATCGTTTTTTCCCTAGAAATTATTTCTGGGTCGAAATTTTTTGACTAGAGTGGATCCCCTGGAAAAAATTTCCTGGATCTGCGCCTGTGGTTCTATAAGAAAAAATATAGTCATCTATCCCATTGAGGGTAACAATTAGTTCTCTTAAACAGTGGGTCAAGGAATTTTGATATATTTTCTGTGTAAAGACAAAATCAAGATGTCACTCACTCTTAGTTTTAAAAAAGAAAACGTTTTTAATCATTTTGCTTTTAATAAATATATATTTAAACTGCTTATTTATTTATTTTTTAATACATGAAAGCTAGCGTTTTCTGTTTGAATAGAAACGGTGGAAATGAGGAGAGAAGATGCTGTAATAGCTGCGGTTTCGGTTCCAGCGCTAACGCTGCCACCTCATGATATTGCTGGACTTTTGCGTAAATTAATTCCTATTTTGCTTTCAATTCTGCCCCCACCTCCTGATCCACTTTTTGATGTGTGCCATCGTTTGTGTTCTCCAGAGCCTATGATTTGGAGGGTTAGGGATGTTTTTGGATTGTTCTCACACATGTATTCCTTTATTGAAATAACTGGTGAAAGTCCCGACTCGTTTCGAGAGATTGTCCGTAATGTGTTTGCATTTCAGAAAAGAGCAATCCATTCACGTCACACACTTTCCCCAGAGAACCGAGGGCTTCGGTTGAGATATATTGCTACCCTACTTAACATATGTTATCTGCATTATTTAACATAAGCCTTACAACAGTGAATGAAAAGATAATTTCTCTCATTGAGCCATTCCAAACTTGCTGTTCTTTTGTATCCTGGCCAACCATAAATAAAATGGAGGCGAATGCTGTAAGTTTTGCCAAAGTTGCCATCTGCAGTGGGTGCTACTGATGGGACTTCTTTTAAAATTTATAAACCCAGAACAGAACCCCGGGAACTGTAATATTCTGGTTATAGATACTATCATGCTATTTAAGCGCAGATTATAGCTGATAATTCGGGGATCATACGGCACGTTAAATGTGGTTTCCCGGGGCATCAGAATGATGCTGAGCAGTATGCCCGGTTATTTGATATTTCTGGAAGAGAACTACCTTTTCCCGATGACTGCGTATTACTTGCCGATAAAGAAGATGGGTGAACATGACGAGCGAAAAGCCTATAGTGTGACAAACATGAAGGTGAAACGTTAAATCTCAATTATAACAAAATTTTCCTTAATATTTCATCTACCATTAAAATACACTTTATGTAAAATCTCTACAATTTGCAAAAATCTCACAAAGATCGAAATTATTTGCTTATGAAATATTGCACACACCCTAAAGAGGGCAAAAAGAGTCATTTTCTCATACTATAACACTATTTTTCGATATGAGTGGGTTTTTGCTCCATTTTTTTGAAAGCTAATCATCGAAGTTTGCATAAAAATATACATTTTTTGGTTTCCAAAATATGGAGCAAAGACCCACTTTACCTTAAAAATTTACTTTTATGACATATCATTCGCATCATTTCGAGAAATACTTGAAGTCCATTAGGTCAAGGGTCATATCACGAACATGATTTGAATGCCACTATTCATCAGGACTTTGTAGTATAGTGGTTAGCGTGCTGGTCTCGAAAGAAAATGATACTCAGGATTTTTATTGCTAGGGTTCGAACCCCACGAATACCATATTATTTTTTAAATAAAAGAATAAATTTTGCCGAGAAAATTTTCCTCAGAAAAGTTTTGTTTATAATAATTTCATAAATTTCAATAATGAGAACTTTACTCTAAATACTAAATTCACAAATTGAACATGACTTTTGTATATCTGAAGCTATAGGCTTTCTGCACGCTATGTTCGCCCATCTCCTTTATCCAAATCGCCATCCTATATCATCTTGCCATTTACATCCCAACAGATAAGTAGAGAAAATCCGGTAGCAAGACGGAAATGCAAGAAATTTATCAGAATAGTTTCTATGCAGAGATCTATTGTACAAAGATTCATTGCAAAGTTAAAAAGTTTACAAAACTATGAACAGTGTTTGGCGTCATCCCAGATCTATTCTTCCAAATGTTGTTGAAATTATTGCATGATTAGTTTGTAAAAAGAAAAAGAAAAAAAAAAAAAAGAAGTACATGAATAAAATACGTTGACTTTTGAATATTCCTTTTATGTATATTGCAATTAAAATATAGCATAAAAAGGTTGTGTTATAAACTATACAATGTTTTTAAGTGGGTAATGCGCTTCATACTGATGATCCCGTGGTCGCTATTTTGTATTTTGATTTTTCACCCAACCGAGAATGTCCATTTGAAATATGGTCGCGAGGAAAGGAGCTGAGATATTTTATTTTAATCAAATACACAATTATAAGTTAATATAGATCTTTTTTTGTTAGATTTTAGAATGCATATCTTTCCTGATAATTTTCAATTGTCAGAGATAATAATCATGTAAAATGTTAAAGGCCTTCGGACAGCTTTATTTTGACTGAGATACAAGGGATGAGGGAAAAAAGACCAATAGCTAGTTAAGATTTCCAGTTTAAAAAAGTCCAATTTTGGATTCAGTTCAGAATGTCTTGGGAAGTATACGTAATATTGGAATGGGCTTAGGTAGAGGTGTATTTTTTTTATTTATTTATTTATTTATTTATTTATTTATTTATTTATTTATTTTTTGAAACAATATATATCGCCCTGATAAATTAATTTTCATTTGTAAGAGACAATATTTATTAATATGTAGAATGTGTTTAAAAAACTTTTTCAGAGCATATGACATCAATACAGTATTATTCAAAAGGCCTTCAGATCGTACGCGTTTTATTCCGATTGACATGCTGGGGGTAATATGAAAGTTCACTTGATGAAAATGGCACTTGGAAGAAACACCATGGTGACACATATTTGCATGTAGCTTCTCGGTATTTTAATTGATTTTTTTTTAAAATGTCATCACAAATTGTTGCAAGTATCAGTGGAGTAGTAGTGTGAAGTTATTTCTGTAAACCAAAACAGGAAAGTTCGTTTTCTGAATAATTTAGTTACATGTAATCAAATATATTTTGTTCTTTGATACGTCTTGTTTTAACATATAAATACATATACTATATATGTACATGTATGTAAGTATATTTTTAGTTTGCAGTTCGATAATAAATTTATTCTGAAGAATTGGTTTGACTAATTTTTAATTTATTAGTAATGGAAAAAAATCGTGATCATATTCTAAATTGTTATATAATAAAAATGTTACAAGCTTACTGAAATTAGTCAAATGCGAATAATATGATTTTTTACATATCGAAAAGCTTCTGCTTTACTAAATTTATAATTTTAATATTTATAGATAGCACAATGTATCTAACTCCGAATTACATCAGTGATCCCCAAGAATTGCAGTCATTTACACCTTCAGAGAAAACCAACTGGCAAACTGTTTATTAACATTCTCTTCTGCGATAAAGTATCTACATAACCATATATGGTATGCTTGCTTTATTTTCGATTATCTCCGTAAACAGTGTCAAAACTCTGCTGGAAAATTTGTTTCGCACCATAAATGTAAAATGAGGAGCAGATAACTCTACACGATGTATCGTTTAGCCCGCCTGGGGGCGCTGCACATATGTCATTTTCGTCCAATCCAATGGTGGAAAATGTAGATTTTAAAACTCGAGCTGTGTATTAATTGTAAAAAAGTTTACAAAACTTGATTAGATGCTAAATAGTTGGAGGTAAGATTTAATACATTTTTTTGCATATTTTTACACTAGATTGCCACTAAACGTTGCACTTGCATTAGTACCATTCATTCATTTCGTGTATGATCATGATGATAAAGCGGCAAATAAAATTCAAAAACATGTCAGTGTCTGTTATGATTATCATGTCTTATTGAGTCATGTATTGTTATATCACCAAATGTTGTTTGAAAATGAGATAAATGCACATTTAGATAAAAGACCATATGATTGTATTATGTTCAACTTTGTTCATCTTGTGTACAACATTTGGTAGATTATTTCAGTTCGAATTTTCTCGATAAAGAATCTGCAGTTGAATAAGCACCTATCTATTATACTCATCTTACCTGTTACAATTATAACAACAAATAAATTCCGTTCTTTAACAGGTGTATTCTTCAATTATAATCAAAAATGGGGGATGACAGTGAATGGATGAAATTGCCCACTGATGAAAAAGTCCAGCACAAGGTATCTCGTAAACGTATCATATTGTCTGTATATATCCCAATTGGGCAATTGGTTTCAGCCTGTTAAATAGAATCATAATTTACATGACATTGTTTGCTTCTTCTATTAACATTTGAGCCAAATTTTAGGACCCTGAAGATTACTTGCTTGTATATCTTGTGTACAGCATTGTTGATTATGTCAGTGTGAATTTTCTTGAAGAATCTGTACTTTAATCTGCTCTGCAGTAAACTGTGAATTAATGTAGCTGATTTAATTGCAGGTATGGAAAGCTCGTCTTGCAGGGTATGAGGAAGCTTGTAAGCTATTTGGTTCTATCACCAATGAAAAGTCCCCCGAGTTTAACAAATATGCTGGGTTAATGAAGAAATTTGTAACAGATACCAATGCTGTTGCTCAAGAGAAAGCACTGGATGCTGTCATAGCATTTATGGAGAATGCTAATGTAGCAGGAAGGTAGATATTAACTTAGCTGAGTTACAATGTTTAGATAAGTGAATTACAGAATACAAAATCTATATGTGTGCTTATTTTGGTCTTCTGTCTCATCAGTATAATTAAATTCTTTTCATTTTTAAAAGTGGGGTTTGAAAAATTTAAAAAAAAAAACAGGAAAAATATTACTGGGAGACTGTGAGTATCCCTGGCCCAATTTTTAATCTTATTTAAAGTACACTTAGATAAGATGGGGAACAATCATTCACCAAAATGATTTGGAGATATTAAGTGTGAAATCTGTATACAGGGTCTGCCAAGATATTATTCAGGGAGTGATCACTAAGTGTTTTAATGCCAGCAAGCAGAAAACTAAGGAAAAGGGAATAGAAATTGTCATGTTGTACATAGAAATGGAAAAACAAGATATAGTTCAGGTAAGTGTGACAAATAAAATGTTATTTGTGATTTAGAAATGTAACACAACAGAATGAAATGCTCATAAAGCAATTCCTGGAAACTGAAGTTCATTTTTTATGTCTGTTTAAACTTCTATTATTTTATAGGAATCTTTTTATGAATATCACTAAATTCATTTTACGCTGTAAAGAAATTACATTGAATACTAGACCTTGTACGATGCCCTGTATCTTGACTTTGTCAGTATACAATATATTCTGTAACTTTTTTGAAGAAAATCAGACAAAGGGAAAGATAAAAATTATTTTACAATTACATATCCCTTAGATTTTCTCTGTGTAACTTGGAAACACACAGAATTTTAATTAGCCATATTTTGTTGTCTTAACAGGAATGCTTGATAGAGGGATTAGGCAACAAGCAGCCAAAAATTGTGATTGTCACCATTCAGGCACTGCGTATGGCTCTCAGGTTGGAATTTTACACATAATATGTCTTTAAAAAAAAGCACAGAAAGTTATACCTGTATTATAATCGAATTAAAAAAGGCACAATCAGTGTGTAAAATCTTTTGAAATATTTTATAATAGTGAATAAAATATCTCACTTACGTACTTCATTTTGCAGGGATTTTGGAAATAAGATCATGCCCATTAAACCCCTTGTACCGAAGTTACCTAAACTCTTGGAAGATCGAGACAAGAATGTTAGGGAGGAAGCTAAACTTCTAATTATAGAAATGTACAGATGGATTAAACAAGCCATCAAACCACAAATGACCAACTTTAATCCAATACAGGTAAAGAGTGGTCTCCCCTAATACATGTCCCTGTTTTTAGCTAACCTGAGCTTACCTCAATAAATAACAATCCACAAAAAGTAAAAATCTGGTTTAATAGGTCATTAATATTCTTCTCAAAAACCACTGGGCCAGAAATGTTATGACTTACAGAAAAACTCCCTGACTTATGGGTAGGGTGGACCACAATTGGGAATCAAAGTTGTATGTTTGGATACATTGGAATGTACATGTAATGGGAAAACCTTAAAAATCTGAAGAACCACTGGACCAGAAAAGATGAAAGAGGGAAAGGGTGGCGTGACAATAGGGGATCAAAGATTTACATTGGAATACTGTCTACAGGGTTATTTTCACCCTTTCAGACTTGCAAACAATTTTGCCCCATTTTAATTTCGCCCAGTCACAGTATTGTTTAAGAACTTATACTTTTTTATAATTTCTTTGAATTCGTCCCATCATCATGATCATAAATTCGCCCACTTGTGTCTTAAGGCGAAAATGAAACGGGGGCGAAAATTTCCTGTATAGAGTATATTGGAACAAATGTTTAGAACAACTCCACTAGAAAATATGAAACTGATTTTGAAAATTTCAAATATAATATAGCTTCTGAATTGTTCAAATCATGGTCCCCAGGGTAGGTTTGGGCCACAATAGGAGTTCAAAGTTTTAATATTGGACAATATAAGAAAAAATTTCAAAAATCCTCTCAAAAATCATAATAGAACTCTGAACTATTAATTTTTGAATATTTCCAAGTTGTGTCTAATCAATTTTTTTAATTACAGATCCTGGGTAAGACTTGGTTTAAATTGGGATCAAATTTTACATAATGTATACAGGAGAATTTTCTTCTCCATAACTGCAAGGTCATTTTAGTCATATTGATATTGAACCATTTTGTGTGGATTCAGAGACCCCTTAATGTTAAGATGGGGCCATAATATTGGCCAGGGGTCACAATTTTGCATTGGAGTATAAAGGAAAAAATCCTTTAAAATCTTGAGAACAGCAGGACTAATGTTACTTGGATGAGTATTGTGGCCCAATGGCCTCGGTTTATAATCACTATACAGTCTGTCATGTTAATCAACATGCTAGACCTTCCGAACATAATTTTTTTTATTTGGGGGGGGGGGGGGGATGTTGCAAGTTTCATTCATATTACACTTTGTTCTTAAAGACCTCAAGAAAGGGATTTTGTAATCTAAGTTTGCTTGTATATGGATGATTTATTTGGGACAAGGCCATCTGGATTTATGAGGCACCCCTTTTACATGCTCTGTGAATAACATTTATGCTGAAAGCAATATGAACTGCAATTTTGATGTCGGAAACTTTTGTGGCAAAATTGTAATTAACAATTTCAATGACAGAAAAAAAGAACATTTATAAACTTATATTCTTCATATTTGTGATTGAAGAACCATTTAGACGCTTTGATTGAAGCAAAAATACATTATTGTTGTCCTGTACAATATTGATTTCTTATATATTACTATGCATTCCATTGTACAGAAACCTTTCTTCTGAAAAAATTTAATACCTTTTTTTTTAGTCTAATTGATCATAAAGATTTAAATTACATACAGATTTACAATAACACCACATTTTAACAGCAAAATAAAAATTTAAAAATGCAGCTCATATTGCTTTAAATCAGTCTTAATGAAAACTAGATCTAGGGCTAGTGGACTCAACATTTTTACTTTCCCTAGGAACAGACAAAACATTTTTCCATAACTATGCATAGAATAACATTCATGTTTCTTACATGTTCAAGAATGAGCTTAAAGACACTTTAAAAAGCTATTGCAAAGATGAATGCTGAAGTAATGGAGAGACAGAGACAAAGAAAATTCAATTGGAAAATGTGATCCATATACATGTACATGTAGTTCAACATTTCACAATTGTCATGTAATGTTATCTGAACTGATGCCAGAGTTTTTATTCTTCTCAAAGAATGTAACATGATTGTTTCATAGGTAGCTGAACTAGAGGCAGAGTTTGAGAAAATTGGAAATGAGAAACCTCAGCAGCAGAGATTTCTTCGCTCACAACAAGATTTGAAGGCCAAGATGGAGGAACAGGCAATAGCTGGAGGAGGGGGTGATGAGGGAGAAGGTATGAAAATTCAACAGTCATAGGTTTCCAAGTGTGAAAATACATGTCTGCTTTGTGTGTATTTTTTCTGCTTTGTATAATTAATATATTGATTTTTTTTTGTAGATGAGGCTGAAGATGAAGTGGATGCCTATGAACTCCTGTCAGCAGTGGATATTCTTGCCATGCTTCCCAAAGATTTTTATGATAAAATTGTAAGGTTCTTTTTTTATTTGAGCAAAAAAAAAAAAAAAAAATTGCAAAAGAGTATATTTATGAACTTCTTTTTATTATTTATTTTTTATTTAGTTTACAATTTTATACATGTATACTGTATGAAGCAAGTATCTTGAATTTTTACCAATTATAATTAGATATTGGCTTTATTGTCAGATTTTATAATCCCAAAATTTACAGCTTGTATTCTAGCATTGTTTAATATGAGCGGAGTTAGAATTACAAACTTGCAAAAACTATTTTTGTTCTTTAGGAAGCTAAAAAATGGCAGGAGAGAAAAGAAGCCTTGGAGGCTCTTGAGAAGCTGGCTAGCAATCCCAAACTAGAGGGAGGGGACTATGGGCAGCTTGTAAGGGCACTACAGAAGGTAAAATAGCTTTCAAAATGTTCTCTTCCTAGTTTTGAATTTTACTTATTTATTGGTATTTCCATAGAATTCTGGAGTAAAGCATTAACATTGTTGCAATATTTTGTTTCATGTTTAATTTGAACATTGAAATATGTGTAATTTAATAATTTGACTGAAATTAAAACTGAGCCACAAATGTAAAGGTAACCAATTTCCAGTTGGAGGGTCTAGGAGCCAAATTTCTGTAAGATACACAATATATATTTGTTATTACTGAACTTTTCATTGAAAAGTTTTGATATAAAGATAATAGAAAAATTGTTGAGTATCAAAATATGTAAGAGGACTCAGCTGGTATCAACGTGTGAAAAGAAAATGAACGACGACTCTTGATACGAAAAAAATAGACATGAGATAAAACAGTACAAAAAAGATCTGAGAAACTTGGATAATTTTTTTTTGCCTAATGAAGTAAAAATGAGTAGAAAATTCATATTTGTTTATACTTTCAGAAAGTAACATTCATGATAATTTTTGCAATATTGAAATGTGTTTTTGTAGGTAATCAGCAAAGATACCAATGTAATGTTGGTAGCACTTGGTGGAAAATGCTTAGCTGGAATTGCTATTGGATTACGTAAAAAGTTCACTCCATATGGAGTCAGTGTAAGTATATCTATGTTATTTACAGATTCCTCAGAACATGCAGAATGCCAGTCATATATGTTAATTTATTACCCCAAGCAAAAGTTCATTTGGTTAAAAGTTAAAAGGAGTTGAAATAAACATGGGTGAAAATGTATGTTTTTCTTAAATTGTCATGGCAATAAATCTAATGACTTTCTGATATTAATCTTACAGACTGTGCAGTGCATCCTGGAGAAATTTAAGGAAAAGAAACAGATGGTTGTTGTAGCCCTCAGAGATTGTATTGATGCTGCCTTTCCATGTGTAAGATCTTTACATCCTTATATTTATTTATTCGTATGTTTTATTACAGAGTCCAAATTTTCCACACACATCATTACAAAATGTTCCAACATAAAAAAAAAAAGAAGATACGGTTCTTAGACTTCTTATTTGCAGCATACAGACACTAGAGAAACAGAAGATTTGAAAACATGGGAAACTTTTAATACAGTTATTTTTGATGCATGAATTATTTTAATTCTTTAAAATAGATAACATTGGATGCAGTACAAGAAGACATTGTAGCAGCCCTAGACAATAAGAACCCCTCCATCAAAGCAGAAACAGCCAGCTTCCTGGCAAGGTGTTTTGCCAAAAGTACAATGAGCACACTGCCTAAGAAATTACTCAAACTATTCTGTACAAGTTTGATGAAGGTAATTCCTTATTCTTATGTTGATTTAAACAGGTTTATGTTTTTTTTCCTGCAATTTTATCCAAATGCAATGAATTAGATTGTGTATTTTGATTTACATTTTCAATTCAGAGTGATGTATGTGAAATTATCATAAATAGATAGTGTAGATATTTACAGTCCCTGAAACGTTCTACTTTCCCACTTGAACAGTGAGCGAACGCTGAACGAACGCAGAGCGAACGGTGAGTGAACGATGTGTGAACGCTGAACGCAACTTGGTGAACGGTAGGTGAACGGTGAACGGTGAGCGAACGCAGAATGCGAACGGAGCGCGAACGCGAGCGCAAAGTGAACGGTGAATGAACGGTGAACGCAAGATAAACGATTTATTCGGAATGCCTCTGATCTTTTCCATGCTTTGTATCTATTCTATTGTATTTTAATGTCAGGTGCAAAAATAAATAAATAGATATTCAAAAATTGTGCTAAGAAAGATGAAACATGCACATTAAGTAAAACTATTAATTAAGTTTCTTATAATATTTTCTGCACATGTGTACGATGTTTAAATTCAGCTGTTTAATCACACGATTTTTTTTTTCGCTGTAAATCATTGAAATTGTTACCGAACGCTGTAGTTTAAAAGATAAATTATTAAAAAATAAATATGTTTAATCTTATTTGATTCATAAAACCATTAAAAATAATGATTTTCGAAGAGGATCGAATTAAAACAGTTGTAACAACCGTACATGTATTTCCGTGTCAAGGCAATTCCGTGTAAAATAAAAAGAGAGAAAAAATATATTTTGCAAAGGTCTGTGGACGTATTGCAGTAATACACTCGTATTTAAAAAAAATTAATGCAATAATATATTTACGTCTTTTCATTTTTTTATGATGACTTCTACACGTATCTGTGGAAAATTCCCCGTGATTATACTCGGACAAGATGATAGAAAGAAACATTCATATTATTTGTTATAGATTAAAATTTCAGAGCTTGATATTTAAGTAATATGCTGTCATAGTTTTGATTAAACGGACAAATTACACACACACAGAGAGAGAGAGAGAGAGAGAGAGAGAGAGAGAGAGAGAGATTCCGATTTAGCCCCCCCCCCCCCCCCCCTTTCCACAAATGCATGTACATGTACCTGTATAAACCAAAAATTCTTAATTTTTATCTAAATATATCAAGCAGTGAAAGTAACCTTTTTTATCAACAAATTCATTTTGTTTGACAGTCATAATCGGTTTTTTATTTTCCTGCTTCAAGTTCACACAAAGTCCACCTGCTTGTCCTGTCAATCAAAATCATTCGACACTGTGCAGGTGTGAAAGTCTCGTCACACCAAAGGCGAGGTGCCACACTGAAGTATATTTCCAAGAAGTTTTAACTCTAGATTTGATTCCAACTTTTCCAAAAAATAAATAAATAAATAAAATACATTGAGCATAAACACGTAGAATGAATTTGATACATACTCCCTGGCCAGTTTAAAATACTGCCGTCGGCACGTGTATATTTTGAACTACTATTTTTTAATGACTTTCTTAGATGCATGTTTGTTTCGAGACTGAACTTTTTGTGCTACAAAACGTGTTGATTTCTTTTTTATAATATTAATCAAAATATACTGGAAATATTGACTAAGTAACCGACTTAGTTGGAAAGGGGAGGGTGGTCTTAATCATATCGAATGGCAAACATATAAAGTTATTGTGAAGAAAGGACTTTTTTCTCTCTAACGATAGACTTTATCTGTGTAAAGTAGAAAAGTAAAAAAAAAATTGTGTATTACATCTAAATAAATATTTTTTGACCATATTAAGCTCCAAAGATATTTAATTAACTGGATATCCGCAGTATTATTTATAATTCTCAGAACTAGTTCATATTTCTTTAGTAATTGAAAAAAAAAACGTGTTAGAAATAAATATTTTCGTAATTTTGCTGCAGTTTGTAAATTAATTGACATGGATTATTATCTCTCCATTAATGATTTGTCGTCTTTTAATTTTGCTGCAGTTTGTAAAATAATTGGCATGGATTATTATCTCTCCATTAACAATTTGTCGTCTTTAACATAATAAAAAATGTTGCAATTCTTGAAGTATCCTTCTATTGCCCATATTAAAATTTAATTTTTCAGCATCGCTCTACATAGGTACATACTTATAACAGTATTTATTTTGCAGAGTAATTTAATATATAACCTAATAGCTAAATTAGAATAATAATAAAACACACTGTAGATAATGAAATAATGATCCTTTAAATACGATATGTTACTTATTAAATTTCAAATCCTGTAAATCCTTGCTTACAAAAAAGATAAATCCTTTCACTTTGGAGTTCCGAATGACAGTGAAGACTGAACGATAAGTGAACGCTGAACGCAAGGTGAACGCAAAGTGAACGAACGGAGAGCGAACGGTGAACGCTTTGTGAACGCGAGCGCACGGTGAACGCAGAACGCAAAACTGTGAACGGAGAGCGAACGGTGAATGAACGGTGAACGCACGCTGAACGAACGGTGAATGAATGGTGAGTGAACGGAAAAATGGGAAAGTAGAACGTTTCAGGGACTGTAGCTAATTACACATAAAAGCTATGTAATTTTCTTAAGATGTCTGATTGACAAAAAATTGCAATTTTCCTTCAATACCCTCATGATATATACTAAGAAAATTACAGTAATAAAATAATTACAAAAAAAAATGTTCAGGATAGAACAGTCGGAGCAAAGTGTAAGGTAATGATATTTGTTTTCAGACTGTATCAGATACTGCACTAGAAGTAAGGGAGGCATCATTCCAAGCTCTAGGAACAGCAATGAAGGTCGTGTCGGAGAAACATATGATGCCATTTCTTGTGGATGTCGATAATATTAAAATGCAGAAGGTTGTTATTTTAAAACTCATATGTAGATATACATATTAAGTAGTCCAAATTCAAACACTGCTGCAACACGGGGGATATTGTTATAATTTAATAAATATTTTTGTTACCTTTTTCCCAGATTAAGGAATGTTGTGATTCTGCTGTGTTGTTAAATATGAAAGGAGAGCCTAGGTCAGGGCAGGCAGCCAGCAAGCCAGCTGACAACCAGCCCAAACCAGTTCAGAGACCGGCCACAGCTGCACCGTCAGCTGCAAAGGTATCTAAATATACAGTGTAAAGACTTTGATGAGATCTTTAAGCAATTTAAGACTTTATACATGTAAATGCATATCTGAAATGAATGTTACATTGAAACAAGTAAATGCTGCTAGTTCTTTTGAAAAATACTGCTAAGAGAGTTAAAATTGGACATTTGCAAGCAATATTCTGATGGGGATTACAGAGATATTTTTTTGGTTTTTGCAGGGATCATCATCTCGTCCTTCCACAGCGCCCTCTGGTGGTAAAAGTAAGGTAAGGAATGACATTGATACATGGATATATACATGTAGCATATTATTATTACTAATTTTTGTCATAAAGGGCTAACATACATTGTGCATTGCTAATTTTTATTTTTATTAGGCCTCTTCAGGAGCCCCAAAGAAAGCAGCAGCTAAAGGGAAAGGGGCAAAGAAAGGGCCAACAGGAGGAGATAAACAGGAAATCACTGAGGCTGTTCTCTCTGTAAGTCATTTAGAAGTGGTAGAAAGAAATATTCATAAAACATATAGCAGTCAGTGCATGTTATAGATTTATTCCAGATATCAGTGACTTTTCCCATTAATGGAGAATACTGCTGTGCTAAATAACAGTTGGACATGTAAGAGGTATATGTATTACTTTGTAGGATGAAGCTGTGGATGAGAAAGCAGAGGAACTATTTACTGCCGATGTTCTTAAACAGCTTGTCAGTGCCAACTGGAAGGAAAGATTGGAAGGAATTCAAAGAGTTACAGATGTAGGATTCTGGTTTTAAAAACCTACATTCTGACTAATACATGTTTCTTGATGTAATTATTCTCTTGTGTCTTTTCCTTGTATGTATACATGTATGTATTATATGATGTTTGTAGATTGTGAAGGAAAAGAGTAAAGAAGAGTTGAAGACACAGGTGGTGGTAAGGACAGTTGCTAAAAAGCCAGGTCTAAAGGATAATAACTTTCAGGTAATATAAATCTGTAAAATTGCAAGGCCTAAAGTAAAATTTTCTGTTCACCAGTTTGACCTGCAAGTTTTCATTGGAAAATATTTTTCTTTATTCTAAAATGAAAGAAATAGATTAATTTTTTTGCTGAATATGTGAGAGATAAAAAAATGTTAAGGAAAAAACAATAAAATATCTGGGGTGGGGTTGATATTTTCTGATCAGTTGCAAAAGAAGAAACAGGCAAAATCTGAGTTAAATCTTGCAGAAGGTGTTCTTTTTCTCTGTTTATTATCAAGTTTGTTTTAACAGAAAGTGCTTTTCCAGTATGCATGTATTGCATCTTGCTTTGGTCAGTGAAAATTTTAATTTACAGGAAAATAATGCACACTACTTTGGATAAACTTAGAAAAAAAGAATCTTAATACTGTTCTACAGGTGCTGAAATGTAAGATGGACTTGCTTGCACATCTGGGAAAGAACACAGTGTTTACCAAAGTCTCAGCTGGGTACGTTCTCAGTGACCTAGTGGACAAAATCGCGGATGTCAAGAATGGATCAGCAGTTCAGGAGGCTCTCAGCTGTATTTCAGAGGCATGTTCTCTGGAGTTTGTTGGCAAAGAGGTAGGTCACAACGTAAAGGAAACTGTCATTTGAGATGTTTGTTTTCAAGCTGATATAGTGTTTATCTGTTTATAGGGTGTAATCTTTGAATATCCATTGATATGATGTGCATGTACATTTTATCCAACATTATGTTTTATGTAGGTCATCACTATGGCATTTGAGCAGAAGAATCCAAAGGTCCAGTCAGAGTCCCTCAACTGGCTGTCCACTGCCATCAAGGAGTTTGGCCTAAAGTAGGCAGATTGTATTATACGAAAATTTGAATATTAGTTTTGAAATTTACCATCTGAATGAGTAGTCATGACAAGTGATTCAATGGTCCAAACAGTTTGTTCAAGATGATGTTCTGGATGAATGAGATGCCACTACAGAAGCAGGCTGATTGTCTTTGGTCAGCAATGCAAATGCATTTACATGTATGCATTGATTTTATGGATTTTTTTTTTTTCATTTTCAGAGTAAATGTAAAGTTGCTGATTGAAAACATCAAGAAATCATTTGCTCACACAAATCCAGTAAGTTTTGCACAGTTTACACTGTATATGCTGTAGCTAATATGCTCAATAACTTAAAGTAAAGTGTATAAACATTGGGAATTGTAATCTGAGATGTATGGAAGAATTCTCTCAGAGTTTGTATGAAATCGGTAAGAATTCTATACCTCTGTTTAGGTGGTGAGATCGGCTGGGATTGGACTTTGTGGTGTCATCTTTATGTACATGGGACAGAACTTCAGGATCATGTTTGACAATGAAAAACCAGCTCTTCTTAAAGAATTAGATGCCGAAATAGAAAAGGTTAATATTGTAAATCACTTTTTATTTGTGTGAACTTTATTTTCATATAATTCTGCAAGATCTTCTGCTCACGAAAATTTTATTCTTGCATATATTTTACTACAAAAAGATATATACAATAATGAAAATTTGTGAAAATTTTATCTTGCTTATCTCGCCAAAATAAGTCGTGAAAATTTAAGAGATTGACAACATTGTTGAAAAAATTTCATTCAAGAGTGAGATTGGATTACATTGTGTGTATCTTGTTATTAAGGTGAAAGGAGAGAAACCCCCTGCACCAGTCAGAGGTCTTGCTGCTGGAGGGGATGCTGAGGATGAAGAGGATGATGCAGACCAAGATGACAAAGACGATGATAAGATAGATGACTCTTTGCCTAGGACTGACATCAGGTACAGGGAACATTATTTCAGAAATAAAGTAAACCAGATAGTGTAATGTACACTAGGGGTTAAAAAGTTTTATCCATTCTTGGTATAAATGACATTTTCTTCCGATATGTTTCATTTCATGCTTTCGAACCAGAAAAAAAGTGATAGATCTCTAAAAGTTTTATTGTTCTGTAGTCAGAGAATAACTCCTGAGCTGTTTGATAAGATGGCAGTTATAAGTGTAGATCTTTAAGGTTTTTGTGTTCTGTAGTGAGAGGATAACTCCTGAGCTGTTTGATGAGATGGCAGTAATAAGTGTAGATATTTAAGGTTTTTGTGTTCTTTAGTGAGAGGATAACTCCTGAGCTGGTTGATGAGATAGCAGTTATAAGTGTAGATCTTTAAGGTTTTTGTGTTCTTTAGTGAGAGGATAACTCCTGAGCTGTTTGATGAGATAGCAGTTATAAGTGTAGATCTTTAAGGTTTTTGTGTTCTTTAGTGAGAGGATAACTCCTGAGCTGGTTGATGAGATAGCAGTTTTAAGTGTAGATCTTTAAGGTTTTTATATGCCTGTCTTTAGACGGGACGTATTATGTTATGGCGTTCATGTCCGTCCATCCATCCGTCTGTCCGTCCGTCCGTCTGTTAGCTTTTCTTGTGTCTGGCTCATAACTTTAATACTATTAGGCCTAGGATTATCAAACTTTGTCAGCTGATACTTCTTGGGTAGAAGGTGTGTCGCGCACTAAAAGTAGCTCGCTCTGACCTTTAATTAAGATGCTATGGCCAAATATGGAAAAATCCTGTTCGGCCCATAACTAGAAAACTATTGGACTTAGAATCATCAAACTTGGCCAATTTATGCATCTTAGGTAGAAGGTGTGTCGCGACCTATTTCAAGGTCACTGTGACATTTAATTTAAGTGAAATTAAAAATAAAACTGTCTTTTTACTATTAGATTACACAATCCCAAAAAATGCAAGAGTGTTGCAGTATCCTTATAAAAAAATGTTAAATCAAGAAAATACTTATTTTTTTCATTATGTACTTTACAGCAATCTATAACAGTAATGTTACAAGAGAAATTCCACCTCTCCCAGAGGTGTCATTATCAAGCACTGGTCAAGGAGAATTTGATAACAGGAAATTGCACATCAAATTAGAGAGAAATTAATGAGTTTAGTGTGAGGAGCTAACTAGTAGAGCATCTCTGATCAAGCAGGTGTTATCTATATCTCTTGGGAACTGGGCAAAAAGAATCAGCCCTGTTGGATTAAATAGGTGGCTAGCCTAACTTTTAAAATGAATTTGGTGAAAAATAATTAAAACTTATTTGGTATTGTATAATAAATTAATTTGATGTTGTATAATAAACTAATTTGATATTGTATAATATAATTAAAACTAATTATACTTGGGAGGGGGGGTGATACTGGAATCAGCATGCCCGTTGTCCATTGTCCGTATGAATTACTGCTTAAAACCAGTCTGACATTAAATCTAAAAAAAAAATCAAGTATTTAAAAAAAAAGATGTTTTAATTATGGTAGAAAATCCCTACAAATCTAAGAGTAATGCAGGAACCTTATTAAAAATGTTGCATCAAGATTACACAAGTTTTTTGTTTCTTTTTATAAATATTTGTAACAAATTAAAAAAAATTCTTTGTTTTCAAATTTAATTTCAGAATGACATAAATATGCATATTTTATTGCACTACAAAGCATGTATAGATCCATTCATCTGTTGGGAGTAATTAGTGGACATGCATCCAGTTAAAGATTAATTAATGAGTTCAGTGTAGGGAGGCTAGCTGTCTCAATCATTTCTGTTAGAGGATCTCTGATCAAGCAGCTCTTATCTGTATCCTTTGGGAATTAGACAGAAGAACTGCTTGTCAATTTATAGCATATGTCATTTGATGGCCAGCCTTTTATTTTTAATATTAATTTGATATTATAGATTAAGTTGTTAAAACTAAATTGATGTTGTTTAATATGATATTTTTATTTTTTTTTTTTTAAATATCAACTAATTCAGAGCATCATGTCACACAAATCTGAAAGCTGGGGGGGAGGGGGGGCTGCAGATGGGCATTTGTCAAGCTCTAACACAACCGGTTGAGGATCTATAATGTAATATTTGTTATAATTAATGCCTACACCACGGGAGATGTAAACACAAATATTCAAAGGAATGGGAAAATCCTTGAAATCTTTGTATCAAGGTTGACATGATTTTCTTGCACTCTAAACTGTTTATGACAATTGAACAATACTTGACGGGCGTATCATGCTGTGGCGGGACACTTTATTGTGTTCTTTAGTGAGAGGATAACTCCTGAGCTGGTTGATGAGATAGCAGTTATAAGTGTAGATCTTTAAGGTTTTTGTGTTCTTTAGTGAGAGGATAACTCCTGAGCTGTTTGATGAGATAGCAGTTATAAGTGTAGATCTTTAAGGTTTTTGTGTTCTTTAGTGAGAGGATAACTCCTGAGCTGTTTGATAAGATGGCAGTTATAAGTGTAGATATTTAAGGTTTTTGTGTTCTGTAGTGAGAGGATAACTCCTGAGCTGTTTGATAAGATTGCAGTTATAAGTGTAGATCTTTAAGGTTTTTGTGTTTTGTAGTGAGAGGATAACTCCTGAGCTGTTTGATAAGATGGCAGTTATAAGTGTAGATCTTTAAGGTTTTTAGCTCACCTGAGCTGAAAGCTCAAGTGAGCTTTTCTGATCACCCGTTGTCTGTCGTCCGTCCGTCTGTCCGTCCGTCCGTCTGTAAACTTTTCACATTTTCAACTTCTTCTCAAGAACCACTGGGCCAATTTTAACCAAATTTGGTACAAAGCATCCTTAAGTGAAGGGGAGGTTAAATTGTTAGTATAAAGGGCCAAGCCCCCTTACAAGGGGAGATAATCAAGAAAAGATAAAAATAGGGTGGGGTCATTAAAAAATCTTCTTATCAAGAACCACTTTGCCAGAAAAGCTGAAACTTATGTGGAAGCATGCTGGGGTAGTGTAGATTCTAAATTGTAAAAATCATGACCCCCGGGGAAGGGTGGGGCCACAATAGGGAATCCAAATTTTACATTGAAATATATAGAAAAAATCTTTAAAAATCTTCTTCTCAAGAACCACTGGGCCAGAAAAGCTGAAACTTATGTGGAAGCATGCTGGGGTAGTGTAGATTCTAAATTGTAAAAATCATGACCCCCGGGGAAGGGTGGGGCCACAATAGGGAATCCAAATTTTACATTGAAATATATAGAAAAAATCTTTAAAAATCTTCTTCTCAAGAACCATTGTGCCAGAAAAGCTGAAACTTATGTGGAAACATGCTGGGGTAGTGCAGATTCTAAATTATTAAAATCATGACCCCTGGGGGAAGGGTGGGGCCACAATAGGGAATCCAAGTTTTACATTGAAATATATAGAAAAAATCTTTAAAAATCTTCTTCTCAAGAACCATTGTGCCAGAAAAGCTGAAACTTATGTGGAAGCATGCTGGGGTAGTGCAGATTCTAAATTTTTAAAATCATGACCCCTGGGGGAAGGGTGGGGCCACAATAGGGAATCCAAGTTTTATATTGAAATATATAGAAAAAATCTTCTTCTCAAGATCCACTGGGCCACAAAAGCTGAAACTTAAGTGGAAGCATGTTGAGGTAGTGTAGATTCTAAATTGTTAAAATCATGACCCTGGGGAAGGGCAGGGCCACAATAGGGAATCCAAGTTTTACATTGAAATATATAGAAAAAATCTTTAAAAATCTTCTTCCCAAGATCCACTGGGCCAGAAAAGCTGAAACTTATGTGGAAGCATCTTTGGGTAGTGTAGATTCTAAATTTTGTAAAATTATAACCCCTGGGGGCAGGGCGCAGCCACAATAGGGAATTTAATTTATATATTGAAATATATAGAAAAAAAAATCTTCTTCTCAAGAACCACTTGGTCAGAAAAGCTAAGACTTTTGTAGAAGCATCCTTGGGCAGCGTAAATTCTAAACTATTCAAATCTTGACCCCTGGGGGTAGGGCGGGGCCACAATAGGGAATCCAAGTTTTACATTGAAATATATAGGAAAAATCTTTAGAAATGTTCTCCTCAAAAACCTCTTTCCAGTAAAGCTGAAACCTATATGGAAACATCCTGGGGTAGTGTAGATTTTAAATTTTTAAAATCATGACCCCCATGGGTAGGGAGGGGCCACTATAGGTATTACAAAAAGATCCTCTGGTGAAGAACAGCAGGGCCAAAGTTATTCAGGTGAGCATTGTGGCCCATGGGCTTCTTGTTGTGTTCTTTAGTGAGAGGATAACCCCTGAGCTGTTTGATGAGATAGCAGTTATAAGTGTAGATCTTTAAGGTTTTTGTGTTCTTTAGTGAGAGGATAACTCCTGAGCTGGTTGATTAGATAGTAGTTATAAGTGTAGATCTTTAAGGTTTTTGTGTTCTTTAGTGAGAGGATGGCAGTTATAAGTGTAGATCTTTAAGGTTTTTGTGTTCTTTAGTGAGAGGATGGCAGTTATAAGTGTAGATCTTTAAGGTTTTTGTGTTCTTTAGTGAGAGGATAACTCCTGAGCTGGTTGATGAGATGGCAGTTATAAGTGTAGATCTTTAAGGTTTTTGTGTTCTTTAGTGAGAGAATAACTCCTGAGCTGTTTGATAAGATGGCAGTTATAAGTGTAGATATTTAAGGTTTTTTTAGCTCACCTGAGTCGAAGGCTCAAGTGAGCTTTTCTGATCACTTTTTGTCCGGCGTCCGTCTGTCTGTCTGTCCGTCTGTCTGTCTGTCTGTCTGTAAACTTTTAACATTTTCGACTTCTTCTCAAGAACCACTGGGCCAATTTCAACCAAAATTGCCACAAAGTATCCTTGGGTGAAGGGGATTCAAATTTGTTAAAATGAAGGGCCACGCCCTTTTTCAAGGGGAGATAATAAAGAATTAGTGAAAAATTAATAGCATCTTTTAAAAACTTCTTCTCAAGAACCACAGGGCCAGGAAAGATGAAACTCATGTGGAAGCATCCTCAGGTAGTGTAGATTCAAGTTTGTTCAAAGCATGACCCCCGGGGGTAGGGCGGGGCCACAATGGAGGATCAAAGTTTTACATAGAAATATATAGGAAAAACCTTTAAAAATCTTCTTCTCAAGAACAGCAAAGCCATAATGAGTCATATTTATATGGAAGCATCCTCAGGTAGTGTAGATTCAAGTTTGTTCAAATCATGACCCCCGGGGGTAGGGCGGGGCCACAATGGAGGATCAAAGTTTTACATAGAAATATATAGGAAAAACCTTAAAAAATCTTCTTCTCAAGAACAGCAAAGCCATAATGAGTCATATTAATATAGAAGGATCCTCAGGTAGTGTAGATTCAAGTTTGTTCAAATCATGACCCCCGGGGGTAGGGCGGGGCCACAATGGAGGATCAAAGTTTTACATAGAAATATATAGGAAAAACCTTTAAAAATCTTCTTCTCAAGAACAGCAAAGACATGTTGAGTCATATTTATATGGAAGCATCCTCAGGTAGTGTAGATTCAAGTTTGTTCAAATCATGACCCCCGGGGGTAGGGCGGGGCCACAATGGAGGATCAAAGTTTTACATAGAAATATATAGGAAAAACCTTTAAAAATCTTTTTCTCAAGAACAGCAAAGCCATAATGAGTCATATTAATATAGAAGCATCCTCAGGTAGTGTAGATTCAAGTTTGTTCAAATCATGACCCCCGGGGGTAGGGTGGGGCCACAATGGAGGATCAAAGTCTTAAATAGAAATATATAGGATAATATCTTGGAAGCATCCTCAGGTAGTGTAGATTCAAATTTGTTCAAATGATGACCCCTGGGAAAGGGAGGAGCCACAATGGGATCAAATTTTTACAAAGGAATATATGGGAAATTTTTTTGAACATCTTCTCAAGTACAAGAAAAACCATTTGTTATATTGACATGGAAGCATCATCAGGTAGTTTAAAATTCAAGCCCCCCCCCCCCCCCCCCCGTGGTAATCTTTTCAATACTGAACTGACTTGTGCTTTTGCCTAGCCAATGTGCTCAGGTGAGCGATGTGGCCCATGGGCCTCTTGTTGTTCTTTAGTGAGAGGATACAGGTTTTTTTTTTAGATCTTAAAATTAAGGGCCTGGGCCTATCCATTTGGGAAAAAATAGCGTCATTTAGTTAAAATTGGGAAAAATATCACAATTCACATTTTTCGAGATAATTTCAAATAGGAGCCATTTCTTTATTTGCAAGGCATTTATTGACTTATTTACATGCAATAAATCTTTATTGAAAATCATCTTAATTATTTGCTGTTCTGAAGTTTTATTTAAGTTTAATTTTTTTCTATTATATTTAGAATAAGTGACATTAATGTCATGTTTCGAATTGTCTTTTGGGAATTTTCTTTGATGAAATTGGGAAAAACACACACTTTTTACCATTGGGAATGGGGCCTATTAAAGGCCCCCTACGACCCCTAAAAAAAACCCTGTATCGGATAGCAGTTATAAGTGTAGATCTTTAAGGTTTTTGTGTTCTTTAGTGAGAGGATAACCCCTGAGCTTGTTGATGAGATGGCAGACAAGAACTGGAAAATACGAAAGGAAGCCCTGGAGAAAGTAGAGGCCATTCTAAAGGAGGCTCCTTTTGTTGCCCCAAGTTTGGGCCCCCTACCAGAGGCTCTCAAACTGAGGCTGAATGATAACAACAAAATCCTGGTTTGTTTCTTTCTCTTCTTTGAGATTGTGTTGATGTAATGATGTAGAAAATAATTATTTTAACATAATTTGACAATCAAGCAAACAAAAAAGATCAGATATTGTATTAAACACAAGTCTGATGATAAGTTGGCGGGATTGACATTGATGTAGCCCTACAATCAGGGATGGGGTATTCGTAATCAGTAATCATAATCAGCTGTAATTGATTACAGTTTGCGGTGCAATCATGAGTAATCAGTATTCATCTGTTTTCTGCTATAGTTATTTTTCATGACCAACTGTCTATTGTACATGGATATTTTCTTGTAAGAAGTCTATCTGACATAAAATTGACACTTTTAATGGATTAGTTGTTAAACACAATGCTGTATGATTTGATTACAGATCGGCACTACCCTAGGGATTTGTTCCTCCCTGGGTACAAAGCTAGGACCTCACTGTAAAGTCCATATCAAAGTGATGGGACCCGCTATCATCAGCTGCTTTGGAGACAGTAAGGTAAGAGGTCCTGACCATTAGAAATGATGGCTATGCTGCTCTGATAAACACTAGATAAACCTTGTAAGTTGATTAGTTTCTTCCTCTCCAATAGAACAATAAGTTATCTGTGATTTGATTTCAGCCTAACCTCAGAGCATCTGCAGTGTCCACACTGAATGTTTGGATGGAAATCTGCAATCTGATACCACTGGTGGAGCAAGAGACCTTTAGTGATGCACTCAAACTGGAAAACCCAAATCTCAGGCAGGAGGTTGGTATTCAGTGTTAAACAGATGATGACTGATTTACAGTCAGAAATGTAGAATTTCTTTGTAAAATTGGAATTCGTTGAAAGAAGTGTTCAAAGAATCAAAGTTTTTTTAATACATTTAGAGTAAGATTTTACAAAAATGTATTTCATATCTATCAAGGATTTTGAGTAATTCACTCCAAAATACTGTTCTGCCTTTTAAGTTGCTCGGATGGCTGAGTGAGAAACTACCAAATCACAAACCACTACCACCTGAGTTCAAGTTATGTATACCTCACCTACTGTCTTGTCTTGAGGATCGAAATGGAGAAGTCCGCAAAAAAGCTCAGGACGCCATTGTTCCCTTTATGATTCACACAGGATATGACTCTGTATTCAGAGCTTGTTCTAAACTAAAGGTTTGTTGAACTGTCAGATTTTACTCACATCATGTTCTTATTGTTATCCTATCAGTAGTCTACTGCATTAAGTTTAAATACCATGAGAAAAAGATTTGTACATATATGACCCTGTTATTCCCAATGAAGGCATTTGGGCCATATGTGTGTAGATGTACCTGTTCCTCTACTTGCGTATCCATTATAATTTAAATTTATGATTCATTAAATACCTTTATTTGGATTCTGTTTTATAGCATTTCTTTATTGGTATCCAAAAATTGATGATTTAGAATTGATCAATTTTGAAAACTGAACATGAAATATGTGAAGAAAAAACGGTTTTACAATCACAGACTAGTTTCATTCAGATAATACTATGAATTTTATTTTATTTTGGTTTTTTTTTTGCTAGCCTGCATCAAAAGATCAGATAATGGCAATTATTGAAAAAGCCAAGGCTAATTTGCCTGCCAAGCCAGTAAAGGCAAAGAAGGGTGGCCCAGCGAAGGCAGCGTCAGCCCCTGTAGTCACGGATGACTTTGAGGATGATGTCAAGGCACCCAGTAGACCTCTGTCTACAGCTTCATCTGAGGGAGCCACTGAGTCCAAACCAGAGACAAAGACAAAGACAGTCAGAGGAAAGGCCAAAACTGTTAGTATTTAGTAAATAATGTGGAGAAATTATTTATTGATTATAAGCTCACCTAAGCCAAAAGCTATTCTGATCAATAGGTGTTTGGCTTCTGTCAGGATGTTATTTGTTTTTTTTTGTATACGTGCTTTCACATTTTTGAATTATTGTCCAGAACCACTGAGCCAATTTCAACCAACATTCAGGTTGAAGGGGATTCATATCAGAGGCAAATGAGAGGGAGAGGGCTAAAATAGGCTGTGCCTGTTGCCCAGTACCATTCCCTTTTGTGAAAAATATTGTTTAAAATGAAAATGAGAGGTCAAGCCCATCTTCAAGGAAGAGATGATTAAGGGGGGGGGGGGGGGGGGGGTTCATGGTTTTATATTGGAAAAAATATATAAAATTCTTCTTAAGTACAGAAAGGCTATAAAAAGTCATTTTAATAAACTTTGGGGATATGATTGGTGTCCAAGGATGTGCAATAAGGTTTCGGTATTTTCTAGTTCATTCTGGGGGTCATTTGGGGTCTGAAAAACATTTTTCTATGAAAATCATGGTCATGGAACATCTCTTGCATTTTTTGCAGCAGCCAAATAATGTTTTGAATATGGAAGGCCAAAAAGAATAAAAATAACGATATGTATTAAAATATCCTGATGTAGTGAAGATTCTAATTTGTAAATTAATCATGGCCTGAACTTGAGATTGGGCCACAACATGCATTATAATTTGATGTGAAATCTTCTCATCAAGGACAGAAAGGTTAAAACTGCTCATCATAGACAGCCAAATGAGGTAAAAATACAGTGTTAGGATAGGGTCACAGAAGGGGATGTTAGAAATATAAATATATAGAAAAAAACTTTACAAAAATTTGCTTCTGGAGAACTGCAGGACTATAGGTAGTCATATTGATATTTTATGGCCTAATGGGTGAGGGATCACAAAGTTTTTCATACATATGATATGAAGAAATCTTTTTTTTTTTTTTAAATTCTGAAGAACAGCAAGGCCACTATTAGTTGTAAAGATACAACCATCTCCATGAAGCATTGATTCAAATTTGGTGAAGTAATTGACCCTGGGGCAAGAATGGGGCCACATAGGTTATCAAAGTTTTACATGGGGATAGATAGTTAAATTCATTTGAAACTTTCTTGAGAACAGCAGGTTTGAAATGACTCAGGTGAGCATGGCGGCAGTGAGCCTCTTTGTTTTTTTGCGAATGGAACTGAATTTCTGGATCACAGATGCACTTCCTCCTCTTTATTGTTTCTAAGTTTTGTAGCATTTTTTGATAGAATATTAATCATTATAGGCTGCACCAGCTGCAAGCAAGAAAAAGAAAACCGAGGAGGATACCAGTCCTCCCATGAATCTTACAGTCCCAAAAGAGAAACGATTCAAAGATGAAAAAAGCCTCAAGGTTTGTTATATCCTCATCAGGACTACTATGTTTGTCTTGAACAAATGGCAGTTACTTGTATAGCTACATTATCATGTATTACATGTTGGTGATAGGTTTTAATTTTCTATTGGATGATGTGTAGGTTCTGAAGTGGAACTTTATTCAGCTGACCGGGGAGTATGTAGAGCAGCTGACCCTGCAGATGGAGAAGAACTTCAGTAAGGGTATGATGGATATGATGTTCAATGTGGACTTCAAACAGCACACCAAGGCCATAGAGATTCTCATCAAGGTAATGCTCACTTAGAGAATTATGGCAGCTGGTTCCATCTTCAATATAAAGAGACAGTTTATAACAAAACATTTCTGAAATGCATTCATGAAAATGGTAGAATTTTATTCTAATACTATTTTAATAGCCTTTACTTTGAGTAATTCAAGTTACATTTATAGGATTTATTAATCCAAACATGATTTCTTAATTCTTTATCTGTTATCTACTTTTCTCTTATAGAGCCTTGACACTCTAACAGATGAGACAGTTGGTAACTTGGATTTACTTCTTAAGTGGTTCACAGTGCGTTTTCTGGACACCAACCCCAGTATGCTGAATAAAGCCCTGGAATATCTGAGGAAGGTGTTTACAATGCTTGTGGACATGGACTTTAGTCTACATGAGTACGAAGCCTGCTCCTTCATACCTTATCTTATTATCAAGGTAAAACTACATAGTAATTACTGGCAGATTTCAGCAAAATATTTTGTCATTGATTTTTTTCTCAGCATATGAATATTTTGTATTTTCAGTTAGATAGATAAACATGTACATGTAGTTAAAAGCATTTTACAGCAAGATATTTGATATCTATATGTATTTCATAACTTGTACAGTGTATATAGTCCATATGGAAAATGTTAATGGTAAATCCGTGTTAAAAAGAAATTTTTGCTATTTGTAGGTTGGAGATGCTAAAGATAATGTCAGAAAAGATGTGCGTGGAATTATCAAAATTCTGTACAAACTTTATCCAGTCAGCAAAATGTTCACTTTCTTAATGGATGGCATTAAATCCAAAAATGCTAAGCAGAGGATGGGTAAGTGTGTTGTGTAAGATCTTCAAAATGATGGAAAATAACATGCTTGTCTAGATCATGTCATGTGAACCTATGTATTGATAGATATAATACTGTACATCACAAGAACAAATGTGTTCTCTGTCTTTAAACTAGACACTAGTGTTGTCAACGAGTACCCTGTTAACCAGTTAACCATTGAACGATATGAGTATCGGTTAGTATAACTGCTACTCGGTTACTCGGATATAAAGAAATCTTGCACATGCACATAGGTAATCAGTAAGAAAAAAAGTAAATTTGTTTATAAATGTCCCGTTATTTAATGTAGACTCAACCTAGCATTTTCCAAGTATGATCCATTTGTTTTGATTAGTTTTTCACAGTTTAACTAATTGGTGGCTTTAAATGCCAAGGGGAATACAAGTTTTGAAGATTTGAGTTAATTATAATTGCCTCACATAAACTTACGCTAGTCCGCGGTACATGATTAAAGAAGATGCCGCCACATGCAACAAAAGCATGGAGTTTAAAAGAATGGCTGATTTTAAATCCGTAAGGAATGGAATTGACATAAACGTGTGGTACAACAAATATGCTAAACCACTTTTACTGAAATTTAACTCTGAAACAAACTATGAATAAAGTACATTCCCCAAAACAGCCAACAATCACGGGATGTTTTAGAAGATATCTGTGTTTATAATTATAAATAAAGTTCATATGCAGTTCAACTGTGTTTTATATACACTGGTATACTTTAAATGTTAAGATAAATGTGTAACGACATTATATATATTACAGCTACTATATAGTACATTTATGGTGAACACGGATGTTTAGAGGTCTAAAGAAAAAACATCAGATTAACCGGGTACTCGATCGGAAAAGTAAGCGAGTAACCGGTTACTAAAAATCGTCCCATTTGACAGCACTACTAGAAACATGTACAAATGTTTTTCTGTTTGGCATATATAACATACAGTCCAATACATGCATGTATCTTTGACCATGTTTGTCAAGGATGTGAAATGATATTATCTGTAGAACAGTAAGTTATTTGTCTGTGAATTTCAGATGTTTGTTTCTTCTCCTTTACAAACCTGTTATGATCTACATGTACACATATATACATGTACTAAAAGGTAAACAGAGTAAATGTTGAATGCTATTTATTTTAGAATGCATAGAGGAGCTTGGGAATTTGATCGAGTCCTACGGTCTATCAGTTTGTCAGCCAAGTCCTAATGTGGCCTTAAAGAATATCACAGGCCAGATTGGTGACCGTGATAATGGAGTAAGAAACGCAGCTTTGAATGCAGCAGTACAGGCATACATGGTGGTAGGAGAGAACCAGTTCTATAAATTAACAGGAAATGTAAGTACTACAAAAAAGAGGAACAGAGTTTATATGTTTGAATGCTTATAGGTAATGCTAGCATATTTTCTTAAATGAATAGAGAACTGAAATAAAAAAAAAATAGTGTATCGTAAAAATCCAATTTCTTAATCATAATTTTATGGCACTCAGCTGAATGACAAAGACCAGAGTCTTTTGGATGAAAGAATCAAGAGATCACTGAAGAATAAACCTGCACCAAAAGCAAAGGAGGAAGAAAGACCAAAAACTGCTCCAACCCAGCCACAGAGATCTGCCTCTCAGTAAGTAAATATCAACAGCTCTAACCCAGCCACAGAGATCTGCCTCTCAGTAAGTAAATATCAACAGCTCTAACCCAGCCACAGAGATCTGCCTCACAGTAAGTAAATATCAACAGCTCCAACCCAACCTCAGAGATCTGCCTCTCAGTAAGTAAATAAAAATAGCTCAACTCTCACGTGATTTCAGAGAATTACATTTACAAACAAATCTAAAATATCTCCCATGAACTCTCATTAAGAAACTAAAAACAACTCCCTCTCACATGATCACAGAGACCTGCCTGTCAAAGAGTCATTTACTGTTACTGAACCATCTATTACAAACTTAGTAAGCAGCCTGAACAGCCCTCATCTTGTGTCTCTGTATGTACGTGTACACTCAACCAAACATTTATTTGTTCATTAAAATTTTTCTGTGATTCATTACGTTTTGTAATGGAAACCGAATTTATGTAATTTGTAGGACACAAATTCAGAGGCCAACCACTGCTTTACCAAAGTCTGCATCCTCTACATCAATGAAGAAGACCTTCCTCCCTGAATTTGAGTACCAGAAAACTGAGATGGAGATGCCCAAACTCTACCAGTATGATTTGGATGAGCTCTTTAAACCACTGGAAATGCCCAAAATCAAGTAGGTAGTTTGTCTTGAAAGGATTTTTTAAGCTTTAATCCATTTTTTGGTTACCTTTAGAGTGACAAACTTGCAGGTCATTTCACTCCTCTTAATATCTGCCCATCTGTTGTACCCTATCACTTCAGAAATAGAAAAGGTAATGATCTTCAAGAAATTACAACATCAACATCTGAAATGTTGCAAGTGACAAAGCATGTTCCTGGAACATTCTACATGTAGTTGTATGCTCTGTATATGTGCCTGGAGAAAAAACAATCATATTTAGACATTCAGATTCTCTATTATTAATATGAACTCTTTTGTACCATGTAGTAGGGCTAGGGATCCCTCCCCGATGACACGAGTGAGTCCGGCGGATGCTTCAGCCACTATAGGCGTAGTCATCGCTCAGATCACAAGTACAGATGTCCTCACCTGTATTCAGGCACTGGCTCAGGTAAGAATCAAAAGAATACCTATAAAAATATATAACCTGTTGGATGAGTTGAATTAAACTGGACCCTACTTACTCTGTCTTACTATATGTTCTTTATTTCACAGATTGATGAGCTGTTGAAGGATGAGGAACATGCACGACTGTTAGGTGGCCATGTTGATCAGCTGATGCTGCACATCTCCATGCAGTTCAGGATGACTCTGTCAACACATATGAACAATGAGGACGTTCCTAAGGAGGATGTTGTCAGACTGTACAGATGTCTGCTAGGAACACTGTTGGCTGTAGGTTTTCAGTATAGCTGTGTTACTCTCCGTAACTCCTCTACTCCATTGTATGTTTTTTCTTTAGTTTAAGTGTATGTTGAATTATTGTGTTATTAAACATGATATTCAGTCTTGCCACAATATTTCTTTTGGAAAAAGGTTGCAATTATTTAAAAGGGATCATGATTTATTAAAGAATTTCAATCAGATAATCCTTTTGATCATTGAATACAGTGGCGCCTCGTTTATCCGGACGCCTCTGTCCCCAACGAAATCGTCTGGATAAATGAATCACATCTCAAAAAGCACTCTCTAAGCATGTACATTGTATATATGCACATTCTTGTTTCAAATGTGACAGCAAAGAAGAAAACTTTTAAATTATATTTTGGTTTATTGTTTTAAAAGCAGTAATTGATTAAAGAAAAAAATATATTAAAATGTAATTTACACAATTAAAAAAAAATGGATGGGCAATTTTATGCTGAGACCTCCTATTTTAATTCGCCTTCTCTTTGGCCTGTGACTTCATGGGCTGAGCACATTTTGATCAACAGTTGTTTTATTTAGCCATATATTATAATTATTGAAGCTCATATGATATGACAGAACTGTTTAGCATCATCATTAAGAATGTTCAAATATAAACTAACCCCGTATATTCCCCGTATATTCATTACACAGGGTTACTATTAAATTAACTGCAAGCTTACTCAAACAAAGTATTAAAAACATTCGTAAACACAAGCCATCTTCATGATTATCAATATTTGTTTTCTACAGACGCTAAGTTTGAATTTCGATCATTAAAAATACCTTGATAAATGTAATCAACTTCTGTACTAACGCCAGTTATATCTTTTCTAAAGCAATGGACGTTTGTAAATGGTAGTACATTAAATCGAGATATTTCTTCAGTTATGTACTTTTCTAAACTGTCTTACATTTACGTTTTTAGAAATGGAAAATAGTATTTTAAACTAACGCAATCAACGTGATAAAGAGCATTACGAAATCGCTCGTTATTTATTGTTCATTTTATTTACAACTCTCCAAAATTCTCATGAATTTACCGATGTACATATGGTTAGCAATATGATTTTGAACAGGTTATTATTTAATTAATGCACAGTGTAAGCTAAATATTAAAGATAAACGTGTGATTGAATTAGGATAAACACACGCTAATTATAGACGCTATTGTTTGTAGGTCACAGGTAACCGCCTTCAAACTGACTGCATGGCCAATGTTTTTACAACAATTAACACAAATGCAAGCGAAGTGTGAAAAAGTCGTTTCTTGAAAAATTACCGTCCGGATAAACAAGTCATTTTTTAATGAACTATTACGTTTTGTAGTAGAAATTGACCATGCGGATAAGGAACGCGAATTTCCGGATTAATGAGACAAAATAACGTGGAAAAAATCGGTTCCCAAAAAAAATTGTCTGGATGGTGATGCGTCCGGATAAATGGCATCTGGATAAACGCGGCGCCACTGTATTTTTTTTGTCAAAGATTTGGGGGCATATAGTTTTTGCACTGTCTGTCCATCTGTCTGTCTGTTTGTCCTCAAAAACTTTAACCTTCCCATAACTTTTGATTGTTTGGAGCTGTGACTTTCATATTTCACATGTATATTCCTTGCGGCGCAAGACCTTTCTTTGGGTACCATCATTTTTGACCTTGACCTTAGAGTTTGACCAAGTTTTGCAAAATTTTACCCTACTTTAATCTTGGCCATAACTTTAAAACAGTTGATGCTAGGGCTTTCATACTTCACATGTGTAATCCTTGTGACAAAACCTTTCTTTGGATACTAATAGCTTTGACCTTAACTTAAAACCTTGACCTACTTTTGAAGATTTTTAACCTTGGCCATAACTTTTGAATGGTTGGTGCTAGGGCTTTCATACTTCACATATGTAATCCTTGTGACAAATTCTTCCTTTGGATACCAAAAACTTTGACCCTTTTACCTTAATTATCTTAGAGTTTGACCTACTTTTTGAAAACTTTAACCTTGGCCATAATTTTTGAACAGTTGGTGCTAGGGCTTTCATACTTCACATGTCTATTTATTATGACAAGATCTTCCTTTGGATACCAACAATTATAGCTCATTGACCTTAGAGTTTGACCTACTTTTGGTAAATTTTAACTTTGGCCATTACTTTTGAACAGTTGGTACTAGGGCTTTCAAACTTCACATATGTAATCCTTGTGACAAGACCTTACTTTGGATACCAACAACTTTGATCCTTTGACCTTGACCTTGGAGTTTGACCTACTTTTAAAAAACTTTAACCTTGGCCACAACTTTTTAACGGTTGGTTTTAGGGCTTTCATATTTCACATGTATTTCTTGTGAGAAGGCCTTGGGCACCATTAATTTTGACCATTTGAACTTGACCTTTATGTTTAATGACCTTCTTTTGGAAAACTTTAACCTTTTCCATATCTTTTCAATGATTGCTACTAGGGCTTTATACTCCTCAAGACAAGACCTTATTTTTGGTACCAACATATTTGATTCGCATTTGAGAAAGTTTAACCTTCGCTACAAGTTGCATTTGGGGCATCCGTGTTTCACAAACACATCTTGTTTTAAAAAGAAAAATGCATGGTACATGTACGTGTCTATGAACCAGTTTACTAATATAAATTTTGTATATAAATTGACACTTTTCCTTTTAATTGGTATGTAGCTAACACAGAATCCTTTCCTGGCCACAAAGACATCCAAGGAAATCTTGAAGGACCTTTTTAACAGCCTGATAACACTCTTACTTGATCAGCGTCTCAGTCTCCTTAATGATGGCCCCCAGGTAGTCAGATCCGTTAATGTCATGATTGTTAAATTGATGGAGAAATCTGACTACACAAACACAATGTGTGCCCTGATCAAGTCATTACAGGATTGTGTGGCCACTGAAACCTTCTCTCCAAAGTTCTCAGAACTTGTCATGAAGGTGAGTCATTTGTAAGATAAAAAAGTTAAACAAATCTGCAAAGCTGAAAATGTATGAAACTTTTTTTTTCCGCTATTACTGCACATGTCCATGCATCTTTGTGTAGTTCAGACTTGATTGAAATGATATATTTATTTTTTCTCTATTGAATGATTTTGAAGAGTTAGTGAGTTGCATATTTTTCAATGTTGTAATCGACAAAAAGATGTCATATATTTGTTTGCAGTTCTTTTATGTTGTTTTTCTACCTCACAGTGTATCTGGAAGATGATAAAAATGATTCCAGAGATTATCAATGATCTGGCAGTTGACAGGATCCTTCTAGAAACTCACCTGTTCCTTAGAAATTTCCCAACCAGTACATGGAAAAGCAGACCTAGTGATTTACCTCTCCGAACCATTAAAACAGTCATACATACACTGGCCATGCTGAAAGGGGCCAAGGTATGGGGCTGAACAGTAGAGCAGGGATATTTACAGACTGAGAACAATTTACAAGTCGTATAAATTCTGTTTCATTATTAAATTTCACTATATTTCAGTATTGCATATTTTGTAGATTCTTGGACAACTAAATTTAATAGATGCCTCTGAAAATTCAGAAGTCAAAATGTTTTTACAAAAAAGTTTGAAAAAGGATCCAAATGCCAGGAATGAAATGAATGGTACATCAGATGACACAGACTCAGTCAAGGTACATGTATAAACTTTTCTCTTTAATTTGCTATAAGTAAATAATTCTTTCTCAGCCATATGAAAAAATGAGTACATGAAATCATGTATATCCTATTTTAATTTACTAGAAACAAATTACAAGAGGTAATACATGTACACTGTCACTATGGAGGAATTGTTAGGAGATCTTAATCAAGAATAAATAGTTACAGTAGCTGTTTTTTGCAGAGTCACCAGAAACCAAAGAAACTGAACAAGAGTACTCATGATATGTTGGCAGAGATCTTTAAGAAAATAGGATCTAAAGAAAACACAATAGAGGTATGTTTATCAGGTACCGGTAAATATGAAGTGATGGTGAACATGCTTATTTTAATATGATGAATGTGATTTACATGTAACAAATTAATACGTAATGTAATTTACTCCCTAGGGATTAAATAACCTGTATGACTTTAAGAAGAAGCACCCTGAGGCAGACTTGGACCCATTCCTGAAGATGTCCTCTCAGTACTTTCAGAATTATATTGAGAGGGGTCTTAAAAATATAGAACGGGAACGTGAGGGAAAAGTGCTGTCTCAGACTGAATCTATGGGTATATACGTACTGTATGATCTAAATATTCTAACAAAGAGCAAAAAAAAATTTGATACTTTTTTGCTTAAGCTGATTAAAATAAAATAAAGTTCAATTAAGAATCAAAGAATTTTAAAATAGATCACATATTACTGAATAGTGTATGTAACTTGAACCACATTTGTTGAATGACTTTAACAAGATGGTTGATGTTTAGGATATGGCCCAACTGTACCCTCAGCAATATCAGCACCTTCAGCATCATCTGATGATGGTTTGGATGTCAATTTCTACCTCAATAAGTTGAGGACAATTCGTGCCAAATGTGGACTCGAGAATACAGATGTATGTACTGTAATTTTTTTTGTTTGCTTGATTGATACGTATATATTGAATAACTATGCTAGCAATGCTGACTGCTATTAAACACAGCTGCAGGTCAGATTGAAATTGTATAGTCTCATGCATATTCAAATAACTGTCTTCATATGTCAAAGTGGACATATATCTAGCATTAAAAGAATTGTCATGGATTTACTATTCAAATTTGTCAGAAGACTTTTGAGTTTGATCTGCTTTTCCAGCCCTCTAAACAAGAGAATGTTATATCTAAGAAGGAAGACAAACCAGAAAAATCTGAAAAAATAGCACCAGAGGAAAAGAATGAAACAGTTGAGGTTAGACACTTTGTATTGTATATTTTCTATTGAACAGCAATTTCCCTTGATCTTTTTTGAATAATTTATTAATCTGAAAATTTATGGAATAGGTATATTGTGTTAATTAATTTTGAGGAATATTATAGAGACAAAATGACATACGCAGGTGAGTTAAAGCTAGGTATAGGCATTTCTATGCAAATAAACTAATTAAAATGCCTAAAGACTATATTTATTATACAGAGAAAGTTAAAACTTATTATCTAAAACATCGTTGGTACCCACGACATGAGATAGCCAGTTCACATTATGACGTCAAATTATGACGTCATTGTTCTTTACTACACAAGATTATACTGGAGGTCAACAAAAATGCTTCGGCGGAAGGGCATGCTCTATTTTATTTAACTGAAATAAGGTATATTTAGAAGCAGAATATTTCTAAGATTGCTGGTATTGCTGCACAAATATCAACAGCTCAGTTGTTTATTTACTATTCGTAAAGTTTTAAGCTGAATCAGGGTTAAAATGTACAGTCCGGTATAAGTCTCCTCTAAGTCCGATCAAATGATAAATTGCCTAGGATTTGTGCAGCAGTTTTATTAATCTATAGAATATTCTTCTTAGCATTAAATGATTTTTATGTTAAATTAAATATGGTATTCCCTTGCGCCGAAGCTGTTTTATTGATGTGTTTTATTATCTGCAGTAGGTAAGAACAATGACGTCATAATATGACGTCATAATGAGTACTGGCTATAACATATCATGGGTACTTAATGTGTATAAGAAAATAAATCAAAACTTTCTCTAAATAATAATTATGCCTCTGAAGCATTTTTATTAGCTCATTTGCATAGAAACACCTATACCTAGCCTTAACTCACATGCGTATATGATAATTTGTTTCTTGTAGATATGTGTTAAGCCAGTACTGTCATCCTCAGAGAATCGTGAGAATAATCCCCAAGCATCCAGTGTCACCCAAGCTCCCTCGGCAGACGTGTCAGAACTCAAACAGAGGCTAGAACGCATTAAAAAGCTAGCCAAAAGTTGAAAAATTAATCAAAACTGAATGTGTTCATTTGAAGTTATGATCAAGCTGTGCTTTTGCTGATTTCTGAATACATTGAGCTGTGGTAAAACTGAGTGGAGGAGCTGGGATAGAGAGCATCCAGTTTACTCGTTTTGACACAACACACCTTGTCAACAGCTTTCATCCATAAGTGCTTTATTTATGCCAACATTAAAGTATTATGACATTCTTATTTATGTTGTACTTGAGGAAGAATTGTGCAAATGATTTTTTTGCAAATTATATATATTATGTTAATGTGATTGTAGGAAATCAAATTATATTAACAGCCAAGTTGAATGTAAGCTTAATTTGTGTCACCAAAGGAGCAATTCATAACATTGACCTTTACCTACTTTTTCTTTTCAAACACATCAATACTGCCATTATTTGATTTTATTTGTGATAGATGATAATGCTTTTGATACATATACACATATGAATGGTTTTGAACTAAATTTAAATGGAAACCAAGCTTCACAGTGATCACTTTGTGGCTTAAATCTTCAGTATGTAATTGCTACCCAAAACTCTAAGTATCTTATTATAGCAAGAGATACTAGAAGAGATTGTTTTGTAAATGAACAAACAATTGGTTGTATATATAGTAATCTATTCTAGTTCTTCCTTAATTTTATGCATTTTCTTGTTTTAAAGATTATGCAGTTTGATTTATTTTAATAGACATTTTGCATTGTCATATCATAAAAGTGAATGAATGCTGTTAATTTCAAGTTAAACATTGAAATTCAGTCAGAGGTAAATCAAGTGGGTTATGAAGATGTTTATTACAGTGGCTAAACTCCACAAGATGTTTATTACAGTGGCTAAACTCCAGTAGATATAACAGTATATTTTTTTCAAGTTTTTGTGAATAGCCTATGTATGCAATACGTATACTTCTTACAATTTCTTATCTTTCCTTAACTTTTACTTTATCCTCTGCCCTAACAAGCTAACATGTCGGAGAACCAAATTACTGCCCTAAATGTCAGGGAACCAGACTGCTGTGGTGATATGTGATGTTGTGCCTGATTGTTTATGCCTTGTTATCTGTCAGATAACAATTTTATTTAGAGTTCAGTGTAAACATTTGGGTACCTGTGTTATAATTAATTTGAAAAAATAAATTGTAAAGTGTGATGGTAATTTCGTTGTTATATTTTCAGGTTTCAAAATTGTATTACACACAAAGAAACTGTGAAATTTGCTGCTAATTTTAAATGTTACACTAGCTAGCACTAGCACTTTATTAAAAAATATGCTTTATGTTCAAGTCTGTGTGATTTACACACCAATAATTCACCCAAAACTGGAAAACTTTCCTTTTTGCAAAAATACATTTAAATCAATTTCACAGTTGGTATAGTGAAAAATGTAATTGGAGTAAACCTTAGAACACTGTATTTCTCTAGTGGTTCTAGAATATTTCCAACACTCTTATATTTTCATGTTTATTATTTCCCTGGTTCTTATATTATTTCCCTGGTTCTTATTTTGATTCAAGATTCTGCAAGGTCTTATTTCCAAACTTTTTTCAGCACCTCAAGTCAATTGTTATGAAAACACCAGTTTCAACAAACAACAAAATTTATTAACCTTTGTATAGACAAATAAAAAGATAATTGTATCTATACTACTATATTAAAATAATAGACTCGAATTTTTGGCCTTTAATACCGATAAATCGGAAGAGTACTGTCTTTTGTTATATATTTTTTAAACATAATTGGTACTTGAAGATTACCAATTTGTTTTTATTTTTTCTCAGTTAGCCTTCGCTAATTAAAAATCAACGAAAATTCCACAAAAAATTCCGGAAATCATCTGGATTTTTTGGATTTTACAATCTTGCGCGTGCGCATTACATGTACATTCACACTAAATCACGGTGTTCAAATCAGAGAAGACAAAAGAAGTACTAAGTAGATAATAATATATTTGTTATTTTATAATTTCTCTAGTAAGAAATAAGAAAATAAGAAATCAGAAATATATATAAGAAATCATAAATATATATGAACAGAATATATAGCAAATTTCCAATGAAAATTTACACGTATTTGTATGGTATTATCTTTCTGAGTTTATCCATACAAATGTGATATTGTGGTCACGTGGGTAATCATTCGCCATCTGAGGTATATTTACTTATAGAAACAGGCTATGAGACCGTGGTCTCATCTAACTCAAAACGAGGCTATTGCTCACCGGAATGGGTTCTCTCATCTATTTTCCCCTAATCATATCCGGTTATAATGTAAGCCTAACGTTTCCGTGCAAAATTATGAAATTATTTTACTTGTATCAAGCCTTAAATTTAGACCTTAAATATAGACTTTAGTTCTGTCTTTAGGGCCATGGAGCAGTGAGGGTTCTGAAGCATTGTAAACAGATTTTAAAATGCAGAAGGCAGGTATGATAAAAATTGACTAAAAAATATATAACCATATTTCCAGGGACCTACTAGTATATAGGTCCCTGATATTAATTATTTCATTATTAAAAAGAAAATGTCCAGTTTACAAATGAGGAAAATATGACAACACACTTTGACACCTATGAACAGACAAACACACATGGTCTTAATTGTGTTTACAACACTGTAGCAGGAGACCATTGACATAAAACAGTCTTAAACGTGGATGGTCTCATGTTTACAAACTGTAGCATGAGACCATTGACATATAACAGTCACAAACATGCATGGTCTCATGTTTACAAACTGTAGCATGAGACCATTGACATAAAACAGTCTTAAACGTGGATGGTCTCATGTTTACAAACTGTAGCATGAGACCATTGACATATAACAGTCGCAAACATGCATGGTCTCAAGTTTACAATACTGTAGCATGAGACCATTGACATATAACAGTCACAAACACGCATGGTCTCATGTTTTCAATACTGTAGCATGAGACCATTGACATAAAACAATCTTAAACATGCATGGTCTCATGTATACAAACTGTAGCATGAGACCATAGACATATAACAGTCACAAACACACATGGTCTCATGTTTACAAACTGTAGCATGAGACCATTGACATATAACAGTCACAAACACACATGGTCTCATGTTTACAAACTGTAGCATGAGACTATTGACATATAACACAAACATGCATGGTCTCATGTTTACAAACTGTAGCATGAGACCATTGACATAAAACAATCTTAAACATGCATGGTCTAATGTTTACAATACTGTAGCATGAGACCATAGACATATAACAGTCACAAACACACATGGTCTCATGTTTACAATACTGTAGCATGAGACCATTGACATAAAACAATCTTAAACATGCATGGTCTCATGTTTACAAACTGTAGCATGAGACCATTGACATATAACAGTCACAAACACACATGGTCTCATGTTTACAATACTGTAGCATGAGACCATAGACATATAACAGTCACAAACTCACATGGTCTCATGTTTACAAACTGTAGCATGAGACCATTGACATAAAACAGTCACAAACACATTTGGTCTCATGTTTACAAACTGTAGCATGAGACCATTGACATATAACAGTCACAAACATGCATGGTCTCATGTATACAAACTGTAGCATGAGACCATAGACATAAAACAGTCTTAAACATGCATGGTCTCATGTTTACAAACTGTAGCATGAGACCATAAACATAAAACAGTCACAAACACACATGGTCTCATGTTTACAAACTGTAGCATGAGACCATTGATATATAACTGTCACAAAAACACATGGTCTCATGTTTTCAAACTGGTGCATGAGACCATTGACATATAATAGTCACAAACACACATGGTCTCATGTTTACAATACTGTAGCATGAGACCATTGACATATAACAGTCACAAACACACATGGTCACATGTATACAAACTGTAGCATGAGACCATTGACATATAACAGTCACAAACACACATGGTCTCATATTTATAATACTGTAGCATGAGACCATTGACATATAACAGTCACAAACACACATGGTCTCATGTTTACAAACTGTAGCATGAGACCATTGACATAAAACAGTCACAAACACACATGGTCTCATGTTTACAAACTGTAGCATGAGACCATTGACATATAACAGTCACATACATGCATGGTCTCATGTTTACAAACTGTAGCATGAGACCATTGACATATAACAGTCACAAACACTCATAGTCTCATGTTTACAAACTGTAGCATTAGACCATTGACATATAACAGTCACAAACACACATGGTCTCATGTTTACAATACTGTAGCATGAGACCATAGACATATAACAGTCACAAACACACATGGTCTCATGTTTACAATACTGTAGCATGAGACCATTGACATAAAACAGTCTTAAACATGCATGGTCTCATGTTTACAAACTGTAGCATGAGACCATTGATATATAACTGTCACAAAAACACATGGTCTCATGTTTTCAAACTGTAGCATGAGACCATTGACATATAATAGTCACAAACACACATAGTCTCATGTTTACAAACTGTAGCATGAGACCATTGACATATAACAGTCACAAACATGCATGGTCTCATGTTTACAATACTGTAGCATGAGACCATAGACATAAAATAGTCTTAAACATGGACATGTTTACAAACTGTAGCATGAGACTATAGACATAAAATAGTCTTAAACATGGATGGTCTCATGTTTACAAACTGTAGCATGAGACCATAGACATAAAACAGTCATAAACACACATGGTCTCATGTTTACAAACTGTAGCATGAGACCATAGACATAAAACACTCTGAAACATGCATGGTCTCATGTTTACAATACTGTAGCATGAGACCATTGACATATTACAGCAACAAACACACATGGTCCCGTGTTAGTGGTTAAAGTATAATCCTCATTAATTAAATATCACAGGTCGTAGATTAGCAAATACCATATAGCAGGATTTTTTAGCGGTGTGCTAACTTTGGCTTATTTTAGCAGATTTGTAGTAGCTTGCTAAAATTTGAATTGCTAAATTTGCACCCTTGCTTATAACTACTGAACACAAGAAAAATAACTTTGATCATCCTGTTGGTAAACGTTATATATATCATTTGGTATTGGTTTTTACTCCAACTCTTGCTTAAATAGGTAATCAAACGTATATTTAATGTACTGAAATTCATCTAAGATGTGAATTTCCTCTCTTTTGCAGAGTCATTGAACTATGTGTCCGCCAAAATTATTGGCATACCTTTTAGAAAGCAAAATGCCAAATTTTACACCCGCTATATGGTATTTTGCAGGCTTTGCTTACACAGTTAATAAGGGAATTTTAATTAAAGTGTTTTTTTTTCAAGGGAAATTAAGGAACAACGTGTAAGTTGATAATTGTTTCTAGGGAGCTTTTAAATAATTTTACATGCAGTTCAGTGATCAGTGATCAAAAGCAGTAAAGGGGTACAATTAGAGCCCATAGGAATTCCAATAAGTTGTTCAAAGATTTTGTCTCTAAAGACTTCATAGATATCATCAAAAAGAAACTTGGACATCCTCTTAATATCAAGCTCAGAGAACATTTTCCAAATATTGCATAACCATTTGAATGGAATTACTCTAAAAATTTTGTAGCTGTCATGAATGTCAATTGGACATTTTTCAGTCAGTTAAATTTTTAAAGTAAAGATGCATGTAGCATCCATTAACCTTTGCATTATGTTAGATAAACATGATAATTGTTTAAGTAATAAGACATTCAAAAAATAGGTAAATGCAAGAAATATTCAGTGTTAATTAATTGAAATGTTTTTATTTTTTTCTTTAGAAAATTCCTTGAAGTTAGCATTGCCAGTCTTGCGCTCTCACAGAACAACTGGTCTGTAAACAGTGTACCCATGTTAAACAGCCAGACAATAGTTCCTGAAGGGCCACACTCTCTTCCAAGGTGAGATACTAAGAAATAATGAGAATTAAAACTTAGGTGAAAGCCATATTACATAGTGTAGATTAAAGTTTGTTTTACATGTAGTAATGCATAAGAAAATTCTTTAAAAATCTTCTTCTCTAGTGGACTTTTGCAAAAAGCACTGACTTTTACAATCGACAGATTACTTTTACAGCAGGAAAATATACGGAAGCTCTCTTGTGATATAAATATTTAGCTTAACAGTTACTAAAACGA